GCACAGAAATACGCATCTGGCGAGGATCAAACACATTCCTGTATGGGCAAACATCCAGAAAAAAACACAACACAAATTAAATATTTAATGTAAAACCCCAGTGGGATAACCCATTTTCTACAACAAAAGAAATGAAAAGCTTTTGACTAACCCAAAGAAGTAAAGAAATTCCATCAGAAGGCTTCCAAAGTTCTGCAAGAACATGAAGATACAGTTAGACAAATGCACCTTTTTTTTCCATTACCAGCACCAAAGAGAAACAGAACGAGCAAATGAAACATTTTGAACCTCTATTAAGCATTATGCTATCTCCTGGTCCCACTAAAATAGGTCACAGGTCAAGATGATTTTTAATATATCAAGATTTTTTTTCATCCTATAGAAAACCACTACAAAGTGAAATTTCTCTTAGTATGAAGGGGAAATTTAATAAACATGGCAGTCCCAAAAGAAAAAGGAGGCCTACATACATGCAAAATATATAGGATTATGCAAAATTCATCACCAGGAAAAGGCAAAACATTAAAAAACGCAAAAAAGGATGAATGAACAAACTTGGTTGATAGGTCGTCCTAGATGATGCTCATGCTGCAGAAATCGTGTAATCAGTAGCATCTGCAATGAGAGTAGAATACCAGGGGAATTGAGTTGCAAAAGATATTAGAAGTTCATAGTTAATCAATGGATTTAACTAGAAGAAAAGTTTGTTAAATCTTAAACTAGAGAAAGCTACCACTTCTAAACTGTTCATACTTATCTTCACTTCTCCTTAAATAAATGCGTCTACATGTGAAAATTCATGTCTATAAATACATAATGACCTGAATGAATCTTAAATATGCCTTGCTACTTGTATTAACACAAAATAGATGAGAAAAGCTACATTAATGCTTCACTGTGGTAATAATTACCAAGCCATAAGAACTTAAGCCACCAGAATAGGACTGATCAAGACTACGATCTGCCAAGAACTGTTTTAGTACTAGAGCAAGTGGTGTGGTAGCAGGAAATTGTTCAATCAGCTCTTTCACCTGCAAATAAAATTTTTGTAATTTTTTTTTTTGTAAAGTAAAATATCTAATCAAATCCACTTGCAGAAATTTGACAAAGAACCATACAGAAGAACCAATAGAAAAAAACTGTAATCGGAAAATTTTTCTTAGCATTGATTATATTATGTAGTAAGGCAGATACAGAATACAAAGACTGTTCATGCAATTTTCCAGTAAAGTTATGGATTATGAAAATAAATGTAAAACTGTAAAAAATTACCAGTTCTGTAGTTTCGAACCCCATATGTGATGGAGACTTGAAACTTATGTCAAGATGTACTGATTTGACATCCTTCATATTATCAGAATTTATTGTAAGGCACCTTGGTGAAGCAGAGTCTTCTACACCAATTGCATCAGAGTGAACATTGTTGCCATGATGTTCACCATTTGCATGTATCTGCTCGTCTTGGGGTGATTGCACATTATGGGCAGCAGAAGTAATCAGGTCACTTGGAACCTCTACCACAAGCTTAATAACAGGAATCTGGATACGAGAGACATATCAGCATAAGAAAAAAAAGGATCAAATGCAAGAAGCTAAGATGAGAAAACATGACAGGAAAAAATGAGATAAGGCATTACAGCTGTATTTTCCACAGTTTTTAGAGAATCACTCTTTACCCACTCCTGATTGGCAAGATACCGGGCAGCATGCTGGAAGACAGATATAGGCAGCGTCAATCTCCCAAAAGGCAATGTCAACATGATAGATAACAGAAAAGGGAAGTTTTCAAAGTAATTTGCAAGGGAAAATCAAGTTCATTGATGCAAGGTTCAAGCAAGATTGCCTGAATTCGATTGTCAAAATGAAATAAAACTAGATAAAGAATCTATTAACTAATTGCATACTGAAACAAAACATGGTAAAGAATTAACAAGCGTATCCTAGTATATTATGAACTCAAGAATTAAGAAGCAAACTGTAATAAGATAAAGAGGATCCCAAATTTTCAAGACCAAATTAACATACAGAACCAGCGATCATCTTATTATAACAAAGAAATTCTGCAGCACTTAAGAAACCACTCACATCCCCATTTATCGACAAAATTAGAGCACATGTCAATAAACTCAATGTCAATCCTAAAGAGAGGAAGATATAAATATATTCAACATTAGCACTCTAATCCTATTTATAATATTTCAACTTATCTTAAAATAGTACCTGAAGGCAAGTTTCTTTAATGCCATTGCGTCCCTCCAAAATCCCAGCTTCTTTGATAGGTTCCTAAGAGTCCTAACTCATAAGTTTCTTGCTGTAAAACTATCAGCAGATGAGGTAGAAATAATTGACTAGAAAATACACAAATGAGATAAGTACTCACCAAATTCCTTACTGGAGGGAGACACACCACAAGGTCCACATCACTTGTAGGAAGGGACAAACCAGTTGCATTTGAACCATAAACATTTGTCCTAGACCTTGGCCATAGGACTTGGAGAGACCTTGTAACCCGCTTGACGGCCCAATTAATATATGGCTTACGAGCCACGTTCTCTGCAGCAACCTTGACACAACGTCATACAGTAAGTGCCAAATGACCAAAAGATAACAGTATAATAACTAAATGACAAAATTCTTATGCAATGAGACAGCTAGACAAGAACAAAAAAAAAAACATATGTAACTTATTTGCTTTTCCTTTCTTTCACTTTATCCTTCCAGACTAGGGGTCGATATTAACTGCTTACCTGCTTGTAGAAAGAATCAATTTCATCATTAAGGAGACTGTGTATTAAAGAGAGAGATGCCTTTCGTGCAGGGCAGTTCTGTAACTCAGGTGGTTGCAGAGGAAACGACACATCTGGCTGCAAAAGGATAATATCAGGCCAGTAGGTCACAAACGCAACACCTAATTGAAAACTTCAGAACTCTGCAATGAAGGTTTCATACTTACATGTTCCTGATCACGAGCTAGCTGGGATATTGCAATCAGACGATCTTGAAGCAAAGCACCCGGGAGAGGCTGAATCATTGGATGAACTGAAAGATTCTTACTTCTCCAAGAAGGCCAAACAACTTCAGTACCATCAACACGGATACCAGCATCATCCAGGTTAGTTCCATCATAGCACAGACCTCTCATACCCCAATGTCTTGGGCTAGAACTACCAGACCTAACAGTTGGAAAACCCCGGTGTTTCCTAGAGTCACTAACAGGAGAGGGTGGTGGAGGACGTGGAGCTCGTGGAACACAAAGTACCACAGGTGATGGTGGCCTTTTAATTCGAGTCTGCTCCCGCCTACTAGGAGGAACACATGGGCTTTTATGCTCATGACCGCGCTTAAATTCATGTCTTCTATCCCTTGACATGTTTGGAATGATGATGGGGCGCAAAATGGGGTAAGGTAGTGAATCTCCAGTTTTCCCTTCAACATCACTAGATAAGTTGGCCATAGATCCAGAGACTTCCTCCTCTGGCACAACTTCAGTTGTTGAAGATGGAGAGTGCAGTACCTTGCCAGACACCTCATTCCCTGGCACTACATAACCAATTGCCTGGTGACCAGGGCCCAAAGGATCAAAAGGTGAACAAAATGGAGCAGCAGGTGGAGATGCCAAACCATTTGTACTATAAGAAGACGAGAAAGCAACCATGTCATCAACTGTCCTACTCATGTCTGCTTCATGCCAGGCCCAAGAGCTATCATCAGAACTAAGGGAAGGGGCTCTGGAAAAACCAGTCCCAGTTTGATCAGAAGGATTCCAATACATTACACCACCACCAAAGTACTGATTATAATCTATACCAGAAACTCTATGCACCTCAAATTCTTCCTCCGACATCCAGTGGCTATCACATTCATCTGCTAATTCTGGTTCAGGCAAGTCAATGAAATCCCCAGAACACTTTCTCTCATCATTAGTGTTCTTTATGTTAAACTGAAAATTTTGAGAAGGAAAGCTCTGCTGAAAAGCAGACTGTCTCCTCGAGGCAAAACCCAGATCATAATTATAGGTGATTGATGGTGCCAATCTTGAAGCACTTCGAACCATTGGAGGCCAATCTAAACTCATTGGCAATGGGCGAGGCAAAATTTGGCTGCATGCACCTTCAATTGGAGGATTTCTTGTCTGATGCACTGTTCGTACAAATGGTTGACGTATGTGATTTTGCCAATTATGACCGACATCTAGATGCAATCTATCAGTGGTAGCTGGGACATGTGAATTTATAGTTGGAAAATAAACAGGAGCTAAAGTGGGCCACTCATATGAAAGGCATTGTGAAGAGCTTGGAGATGCAGTATCATAAAAAGTTTGTGCATGTTGCCCCTGAACCACAGCAACTTCCTCCTTATTCTCAAGATCTCTGTCCAGAATGTTAGAAAAAGTTGTCTTTGCCTCAAGTTGACTTCTACTGAAAGAGTGCTGCGTGTAAATGGCTTCATTGCTTGAAACACAATCAAGCTCTGTCATCGGCACAAGAGGCATTGTACTTGAATCTACCATATGATTTATATCTTCCCGTCGAGAAGGTATGCTTTGACTCTTAGTTTCATCTTTTGAGTGACTATAACTTCCTAGATTTATGTGACTGGAACCTTCAGCTTCAGCAGAACTAACCACATGATCTTTTACACATAAAGCAATATCTTCACTACTGAGCTGATTATCACATGTATTGGTACTTGAATTTGGAAATAGGTCGCTGCAGCTTAAGTTATCATTTGACACACTCCCCTTAGTTAAATTAGCAGAAACCGAAAGAAAGTTTGCTGCCTCATCTTGAAAAGTGGCACTGGAAGAAGCCTCCAAGACAGGTTTTTCTGAATTCTTCAGTTCATCTGGACTGCTAAAACGGGACTTCTTGTTTCTGTTTTTTCCTTTCTTACTCTTCCCTGCAGCAGCCTGTCCTTTTCCAACACTCGATCCATGGGTCTGCTCCTGAAGAAAAACCGAGTCATTAATATAGTTATACCATTAGCAAATACAGATTATCCAAATGAAAAACTATGCAATAATTTCCATAGATGAGGATACCTCTCTATGTATTTCCTTTCCATGAGCCATACAAGGCATTTTGTCAGACTTCACCAAATCTAGGTTATCAGATGGGGCTGATGCATATCCAAGATCCTGGCATATAAACAGAATTAATAAAATTAAAAGAATGGAGTTTCACAGTCCCAACTGCACACAAAATGTACAATATGGGTCATGATAGTACCAAAACACCCTTAGTGAATCTTATTCAATAAGGGTATTTAAATACTTTGACAGCCCGGACTGCATGCAGTCTGAACTGAAAAAAAAATTCTGTAAAATTAAAATCTCTCAACACATAATTTAAAAGAAGAAGGTCTCCACAAATTTTGAAGATGGTACCTTAAGAGGCTTCTCTAATTTAATCTCATCCACCCCTGACCTGGGTGCAGGATTTTGTCTTTTTAGATTTTTAGACCTTCCTTTTTTCTTGCGGTTACTTGCTCCAACCTTTTCCTTGGATTTATTTGGTGAAGACCTAAGACTTTCATCTCCAAGAAGTTCAAGTTTTGTGCAGTCAAGTGAGATGACCATAAGAAATCCCCGCAGTTTTCTAAACAAGCCATCAGAAATGGTACTTATAGAACCCAATGTGCTAAAATGTACCTTTCCTATATCATATTCACTATGTTGACATGACAATATCACGCTCATAATATCCTGAAGCACAAGTAAATGGTGGAATATTCCACCCAAGGAAGTCCCTTTTCCATAGACGGTATCTGACTTGATAGCCACACCAAAGTCTGCATCAGGTAGGAGTTTGGGAGCAGTCTCCCAAGACAAATCAGTATAGTTGTATCTGATTGGTTGTTCCATTACGCCTGCATTGAAGAGCCACATCTCATCCTCTGAGACACCATTCACCATATTCACAATCTCATGAGTCTGAAAGCTCGCATTTAATCCAAAGTTAGGCAACAATAGATATTAAACGTTTGTGGAACAGAATTCATAAACCACAAATTATTCACATTTTGGAATGCTTGAACCATTTTCTATAAAATTTCAAACATAAACCAACTTATGTTTTGAAATTTTGAATACATGAATATTCTTTTTTTGTCTTTTTTAACCTCCAATTCATCAAAAACCACTATCACACACATAAATTCTTTTTGTTAACAGAAACTACACACAAACTTATTATCTGTAGTTCTTGCTTTTAATAATAGGTGACAACTGTACAAGGAAGTTATCCAAGAGATGCACAGCCACAAATGAGGAAAGTATAAAAGGAAGGAAAAGCCATATCTTATAGTTTTTTCTTTCATAGGCCATGTCTGCATTATCCGCAATTACCAGATTAGAATTAAGATAGACAAGTTCCCAGACAATACCAAGGCTTTTGCTGCTTTTCCCAAAGCTGCCGTCAATACCTTTCTCCTGGTTGTAGAATCCAAATTTGCCCACCAATCAACACACCCTTTCTTTCTCCAATACACATTTGCAGCCAATCCAGCAGCAATTAACTTCTCTTTCAGCTTCACCCCTCTTTTCTTCCCATTGTTACTATTAAGCCAAGCCAACCTCAAAGCCACCTCTAATCTACTCGCAACAAATTCCTCGATGGTGTAATAACCTTTTGCTTTTAACCACTTCAATTCAACCCAATCCGATCCCAACTCACTCTCTTCACCCCTCAAAAACGCCCCATTGGATACTTTATCCATCATTCCAACAAACCGATCCACATCTTCTACAAAATCCTCCGTCACCGTCATAGAATCCAGACTACTTACCGAACACGAGCACTCTTCAATTTTCTCACTTTCGCTGGACCCGAACAACCGAATAGACTCAAATATCCGCCTTTCCGATTCGTTAGACGATGCAACCCTAGCCAGGAGGCCACGCGACTGCCTGTAGCAAAACTCGGGGAGGCCAGGCAAACCTGACAAGATGTCGGCGAGGATTATGAAGGAACCATGGCCACGCCTCCGTAGCTTCCCAAGCATCCGAATGATGAGCTGAACAAAACTGAAATCGACGACGGTGAGGTAAGCTTGGCGTTGATGGAGGGTAAGAGAGGAGAACCATCTGAGGATGGAGGACCTAGGGTTAGGGTTGGAATTCAGGGGGAGCGAATGGGAGTGATAGAGAGAGAGGTGAGCTTGGAGGAATTCGACGAGTTGTTTCTTAGCCATGAACAATTGCGGTGGCTGCTGCTGCTGCTGCCGGCGAGAAAAATTAGGGTTTGATTTAGACACTTTGCTAATTTTCTTCTTCTTTAGTTAGTCAGAGACGGTGGAAAGAGAACAGAGGAGGGAAGAAAACAAATGTTGTCGTCCCAAGCGGAAAACGCCGCCGTCTGTTGCGGCGTATTTAACGCCTAATACTATGGTGCCACGCCAGCTTTAAGTTTTAAGCCGGAAATGATTTTTTGCTATCTTTTTTGTCTCTTTTTTTTTTTTTACAACATAGGTTAAAACCCCTTTTTGGTCCCTGAACTATTGTATGGACCACCGATTTGGTCCCTAAACTAAAAAAATCTCTGATTTGGTCCCTACTGTTTACCATTTTTACCCCAATTTGGTCCTTCCGTTAAAAATTGTGTGACGTGGCATGTTACTTAACAGTTACCAGATGACATGTCATATAATAATATAAAA